CCCAGCCTGGCCCCCGAGGTGAAGCTGTGCACAGCTGACAGAGCCAGCCACCCTGTCCGTCCATCTGTCTGTCCCCACTCGGGCTCAGGGCTCAGGGAGCCAGAGACCCTGCCCTCATCTTTCTCCCCAGGGACGGGACCGGCCCTGTGTGTCCTTCCACCGCACCCGAAAGCCTGTGCACTGTGGCCCCCGCTGTCCCGGAGGGCGACCTGGCGGGGCTGGTGCCATCCCAGCGATTGCAGGACATTCCCCAACACTGCAGTCACATTCCGAGGACCTCAGTGCAATGATGTCCTCCCCACAAACACACTTGCTTTGAGTCCCTCCCCAGAAGACCCCTCTCTGAGCGGCTTGGCGGCGGCGGCCGGCCATGCTGAACGCTGAGCAACGTCACCAGGGAGCTTTGAAAGCAGATTCGGTTACACACATGACACTGCGACCGACCGAGAGCTGTTTCGGTTTCCCACCCCTTTCTCCGCAGCCAAGCCAGCCACCGGGTCGTCCACAGTGCAGACGGTCCGCAAGGCCCAGCGTTCCCCCAAAGTGCCAGGCTCCGCCCACCCTGCAGACCCCCCAGGAGGGGCAAGGAGCAGGCGGCCTGGGGGTGGGGGCGGGGCTGCTGACCGAGGCTGAGCCAAGGGAGCAGCACCCGGATGGGAGCCGCAGGAGCTGGGGTCAAAGGCCGTCTCAGCTTCTGTCCCAGCCTTGGTTTCCTCCTCCATGAAGTGGGTGTGAGAACCGCCCACCCCACCAGACGGCTGGGCGCTTCCGAGGAGTTAAAACACCCAGGTCACCGAGCCGTGCCAGGCACGCGGGGATGCTCGGGCAATGCCCAGGCAGGGTCCAGAGGACACCCTGCTGGGAGCAGCCCCAGGCAGAGACATCACGGACCAGTCAACGCCCCTGGAGCCTGACCCAGGCACACCCAGTGGGCTCCAGCCTGCAGCTGGCCTTGGGCCATGGCACTCTCAGTCCTGCAGAAGGGGTACATGCTTTCTGCGTTCAGCATGATACCCACGCCCTGATCCAGCACCCCAAGGCTCCCCGCCCTTAGCTCCCTCACCTCTGAGGATTTCTGCAGTCCTTGGACTTCAGGTGGATGGAGTCACACATGCTGGAGATGCCTGGAGTCCTACTCTGTGGACCCCGAGGGGTGGCAAGGCCCTAAGGACACCCTGAGGTCCAGGGGTTGGCAGATGCCAGAGGAGGCCTGGGGGGAGAGGGGCAGGGGAGGGATTCTGACTGGCTGTTCCCTGTCCTGGGGGCTGAGGACACAGATCCCCACCCTGGTGACTGCCACCCCACTGGGAGCGGGTCCTCCCTCCCTCCAACCTTCCAGCCCACCCCACAGACAGCAGAAGGAGGCCCTGACCCAGACCCTGACCTCCCCGGCTTCCTTCCCTGGCACCTGTCCCCAGAGTCCCTGAGCCCCTCCCACCTGCAGGGAGGGACCAGGGCAAAGGGACCCGAGGGATGGGGTGGGGGAGGTGGGCCCAGCCCCTCCTGCAGCCAACCCAGACAGCCTGTGCTCAGAGGATGCTTCCTGGACAGGGTGGCCCCCAGGCTGGACACAGGCCTGAGCTCAAAGCCCCACGTGGGCCATAACCGTATCCCCAGAGATCAGCAAGCAAGGAGTACCATCGCCTGCTGGCAGGGTGTGCATAGCAGGGACCCTGGCGGGGGGTGCTCCTGGGCGGGGACCCTGTCCCGGGGTAGCCCGGCCTGATCAGGAGAGACTGCCCAAGGCGTCCAAGGAGACACTAGGTCCCTCTTGGGAGCTGGGCCGGGGCCCTGATGCCCCTGTCCCCATCAACAGTGGGACTGTTTTCTTTCTTTTCTGTCCAGGAGGTGTCTGAGTCAAGGGTTCGGGTTCCCAAGCTCTGGAGTGGGGAGGAGGAGGCTACGGGCAAGTGACAGCTGGAAATGAAACCCAGAGCCTGGCGGACGGTTGGAGGCTCCACCCCACTTCCCGGCCAGGCTGCTGGGCACCCCCACCCCTCACAGCCCACGACTCTGCCTGTCATGGGGGTGAGCACCCAGCCCTGATCTCACTGGGGGTGGGGTCCTCGCCCCAGAGGTGGCTGTCGGGAAAAATCCCCTCCTGTACCTCCCTCGCCCGCCCAGGTGCCTGCCCTCGGGAGCCTGGCACAGACGGACCATCCTCTGCCGGTCCAGCCTCCAGGAGCCTTTGGAGAGTAAACCGCTCTCCCTCCCCTGCTCCCCACCGTGGAGCCAGCCCCACCTCACCCCCACATCATCTGCTCTGGAAACAGCCCAGCCTTTTAATTATAAATGTAATGCACGTCCATTTTAGAGATTTGTTAATACAGGAAAAGCAGCCAACTGCTATCACCCAGAGACTCCCTCCTTATGTCTATTTCTTGTGTTTTTTTTTGTAATTTACTTGTGCAATTGCTAGCTGTGTGGCCTTGGGCAGGTTAGCTAACCTCTCTGTGTCTGGTTTCTCCATTTGTAAATGGAATAATAATATCATCAGTCTCATGAGATGGCCGTGGGCATTACATGGGAATATCACAGGACAGGCGGTGCTTGCGTTGCCTGTTCAAGGATTTACAGATCTTACTCCACGTGAGTGGTGCAGACCCTCCCCCTCGGCCCCCGCAAGACCCCAGCTTTGCTGTTGGGCTTTTCTTTTTCTCTAGACTGTTTTTGGGGGAGGAACGTCTCAGCCCCCCCACAAGTTACGAGTGTCCCCCGTTACATGTCTCTTCATTCCCAGTGCCACGGGTCACCATCCCGCTCCGGTTACACTTTCTCAGTAACCCGGGGCCAGAGCTTGGGTTCAACCGGCTTTGCCCTTGGGGGCCCTGGCGGAGCTGCGTCTGCAGCCGCCCTTGGCGATAAGACCGTGCTCACGCAGGAAGGGCCCTGGCCTCAGTGGCGCAGGCACCCCTCTCTGCCCTCCTGGAGCCCACCACGAAAGAATGATCCATACATGGAGTCTGGAGGGGGTGGGGCGAGGAGGGATCCCATGGAGCCCCCCAAGTGTGGGGACGGCAGGGACCACAGAGTGCCTGGCGGTGTCCACTCAGGGCCCTGAGGGAGGGAGAGGATGGAGTGACAGGGGTGTGGAGGGAGGGCTAGGAGCAGGAAAGGGGGTAACTGGAGGTCACCTAGTTCCCTATCCCAGTGACACACTCCTCCGCCCCAACCTACTGCTCCTCGCCTGTGCACAGGGTCCAGGGTCCGGAGCCCACCCTGGAACCAAGGCCCAGGGTTCGAGTGGGGGCCTGAGCCGACCATGGCCCCTCGGCAGCTCCGCCCCCTCCCAGCCCCTCCACTCCGCGGAATCCCAGGCTGCTGCGGGCACCAGGGGATCGGGGGATCGCGTGGAGAGGAGAGGAGAGGAGAGTGCGCCTGCCCGCCCTGGAGACCTGCAGGCTCCGGCTGTCTAGGGCCCCACGCTCCAGGAGAGGCCCATGACTGAGGCCTTTCAGCTTCAACCCGGTCACTACCCCGGCTGGCCACGGCCCATCCCGCCTCCCCAGGCAGCTGCCCTTCACCAAGGAAAACGTCTGGCTCCTCCCCTCCACGGGCGACGCAAGCTGAAGACGCTCTCTGCAAACGAAAAACATCCATGGCCCCAAGCTCTGGCCCATTCAGTGTTGCTCTGGGACTGCTGTGGTCCCCTCGGCGTGACAGGGGTGAGGCAGGCGACCGCAGTCACCCTGGAAGCCGAGCAGGGAGGCCCGTCCCCCCTCCCCAAGGCTGCAACCATCCATCAGGGACAGTTATGTGACTCCCACCTATTGCATTTCTGGCACCTGGAGGAGACACTTCTGGATTCCCCACGAACTGCGAGAAAGTCTCACAGAGGCTGGGGTCTCGGGAGCGCACCCAGGTCGCATCGGAGGGGCGGAACCGCCAGCGCCCCAGTGGCCCCGCTTGCTCAGAAATGGACAAAATTGCGGGGCTCCCACTGGACTTCGCGCCTGAAGAGGCCAGTAGTACACCCGCTCAGGTCCAGGGACTGGGCCAGGGTCCCTGTGGACGGCAGATCCCTGTGCTGGGCCCCAAGTGCAGGCGCACTGGGAGGGGCCCACGGGGTTCCACCTCCGTGTCCATCGGTGCGGCGGGGGCCAGGGCCACTGAGTCAGCCATTTAAAAGGGAACCAGTCACTAGTCCAGCCTTGGGTGGGAGTCCCAGGCAGACGGGCAGGGAGGGCTGGCGACCCTGGATATCAGGAAGAAAGTTAGAGAAGTCTCCGAGTCCCGACTCTCCTGGGGCCCCAGGGAGGCCCACGGGGAACTCGGGCGCTTGTGCGCCTCCACTGGTCGGGGTTCGGCGCTGGGTGCCCCTCGCCCTGTGCCCAGATCGCAAACCCCCCAGCTGGGCCTACCGGGGTCACGTGGCTCCGCGGTTGGAGCCCCGGCGCTGACCCCGCGGGGAAGGAGGGCGGGCGCCGCTAGGGAAGGGGCGGCGCGGCGGGGCGGGCCGGGGCGGGGCGGCTCCGAGAGGCGGCCCAAGCGCCCGGGATTCCCTGCGGAGCCGCTCTGTCCCCCGGCTTCTGGTCTCCAGCCCGCCGTCGCCGGCCCACTGCCCCAGCCCCGCTCTCCCGCCCTCCCGACCGCCGGTGAGTGCTCCAGCCGCGGTCGCAGCCGCGCGCCTCTTCCCAGCGGGGACTCTAGCACCGCGACGAGGCCCCTGCTCCCAAGGCCATGCGCCCCGCGGATGTGCCGGCCCGGTCCTTCCCAGCCCCCACCGAGCCCACCCCGGGACCTCCGAAGCCGGGACAGTGGAGGAAGTGGGCTTGGCGTGGCGGCTGCGCCGGGGATGCTGCACCGAGCGGCCGCTCCCACCCCCCCAATCCCCGGCGTTCTTCCCCGACGGTTCTGGGACCGGCCCCAGGAATGGCCCCGGCTGGGGAGTGGGAAGCGCGGCTGGAGCGGCGGCACCTGCCCGGCCCAAGCTCGAGCGCCCGCGGAGCGCTCACAGCAGCGGTGACTTCGACGCCCATCCCTCTTCCCCGCAGGTTGAGACCGCGCCCAGGAAGATGTACCAGAGCTTGGCGCTGGCCGCAAGCCCCAGCCAGGCCGCCTACGCCGACTCGAGCGCCTTTCTGCATGCTCCGGGCGCCGGGTCCCCGATGTTCGTGCCGCCGCGCGTCCCCTCCGTGCTGCCCTACCTGCAGGCGTGTGAGCCGGGCCCGCAGCCCCCCGCGCTCGCTGCGCACCCCGGCTGGGCGCAGGCAGCCGCCGCGGACTCCTCGGCCTTCGGCTCCGGCAGCCCGCACCCGCCGGCCGCGCAGCCGCCCGGAGCCGCCTTCTCCTTCTCGCACAGCCCCCCGGGGCCGGGCGGCGGCGGCGCGGGGAGCCGGGACGGCAGCACCTACCAGGGCGCGCTGCTGGCGCGGGAGCAGTACCCGGTGCCGCTTGGGCGGCCTGTGAGCGCCTCGTACCCCGCCGCCTACTCGGCCTACGTGGGCCCGGACGTGGCCCCGTCCTGGACCGCCGGACCCTTCGAAGGCAGTGTCCTGCACGGCCTCCCGGGCCGCCCGGCCGGCCTCTCGGGCCGCAGAGCCACCTTCGGTGAGTGCGGGGTGGGGAAGGGAGGGTGGCCGCACTGGCTCGCCCGGAGTGCCAGCGAGTCCGGGGAACAAACCCGCATCCTGCGAAATGTGCCCCCCGGCCCCACTGTCAGACCCGCAGCACTGGCCCAGAACTCTGGGGACACCCAAACCTTGGGTGATACGGCATCTGCCACAACCCCACCCACCCCCGGGACAAAAAACAGTATCCAGAATTCTTTTAACATATTAATAGAAAAGTGCATCTATTTCTGCCTTTCATTCATTTGAACCCAAAGCAGCATTCTGGATTGTGCCTAAGTCTTAAAATGTTTTTTTGAAAAGTTTTGGAAATGATTTTTATAAAGTTTGAAATGTTGGTTTGTTTAAGTAACTCGCCGCATTCATCTCTGCTCTAAAATGTTTACGTATTCTAATTTGGGGCCTGGCTTCAATTGCTCTTGGAGTATAAATTTGGATAATAGGGTTCCCGGCCTGCAAAGCGGACAGTTGCTCCACCGGGTTTCTGAGCAGTCCCCGGAGCTGGCGCTTTCTGGCCCAAGGCCATGCCTCTGAGTTTGCTGCCTGCAGGGCCCCCTCAGGGCCACCCCTCCCCCTCCGTGGAGGCCGAGACACCCAGCTCAAGAGCTGCCTTTTGGCCCCCACCGGCCCCTCAACGCAGGAAGCGGGGGCCCAGCTACAGCCACCGGGACCCCTGGCTCCCAGCCCGGGGCAGCCCTGCGTGGCACCCACCCTTGGCTGGGCGATGACTGACCCTTGCCCTGCCCCCACCCGGCCTTCCAGCCAGAGCACCAGCTGCCTACGGGCACCTGGCTCAGCCTGGAGGGGATCAGGAGACCTCCACCCCACCCCCCGTGTGCGACTGCCAAGTGAGGAAGGAAAGTGGTTTCGAACACAGCAGCGCTGACAGGCCATCGCGGTCCTCGCAGGGTATCTGGAGATCTGGTCCAGAACCACAGCCCCCCACCCTTCTGATCCGCGGTGCAGATGAAGCGGGCAGTGCGTTTAGCCCAGGCGCCCTGCTGGATAAGGGCCCTTCATCCGCCTCCCTCTGCCGGTGTAGACGCTGCTGCCTCCCCAGCAGGTCAAAATGTGGAGGCTAGTGCTGGACTAGCCTGGTCAGAAGGGCGAGCCCCAAGTATCCACCCGAAGGTTCCATTTATTAGCACTCCCCCCCTTATAAAGGCAACCCAAACGAAGTTCACTGTATGCAAGTTTAAAAAAGAGTAAGTTTTTAAATGAAACAAATGTGATACGCAAGTGTGGGGAGTCGGACAGAAGCCCTCAGGCTCCCGGAGAGGGGCTGAGCTCGGGCCCACGAGCTGCCTGTCCCCGCAGTGTCTGACTTCTTGGAGGAGTTCCCTGGCGAGGGTCGAGAGTGCGTCAACTGCGGGGCCCTGTCCACGCCGCTGTGGCGCCGCGACGGCACAGGCCACTACTTGTGCAATGCCTGCGGCCTCTACCACAAGATGAACGGCGTCAACAGGCCACTGGTACGGCCCCAGAAACGCCTGGTGAGTGCAGGCCCGGGGCACAGAGCCCGAGGGGACACTGGAGCCCCGGGGTGGGGGGAGCACCGAAGCCAGGCCCAGTTCCTTTCTTACGGGGGCAGCGGCACAGAGGCACGCAGGGGCCAGGGGGCTCTCGGTGGGGACACTGTGGGGCCACCCACTCAGGAGTGCGCTCTAGGGAGCCCCAGGCCCAAGCTCAGAACCCACAGAGCTCTGGCTCTGCACTCAGCGGGGTGCAGCCTCCGGCAGGGGGCTGGGGGTCCTCCCAGGGAAGGGCCAGCTTCAGGGAGCTGGGACCAGGATCACCCACCGGGAGCTCAGCTCTCAAGCCTCAAGGTGACCCTGCCCGCAGATGGGGCTCGAGGGGAAGGTGGCTGCCAGGTAGACACTTTGTTGGGGGCCAGTGAAATCCTAAATGGGAGGGTCTTTGGGTCTGCCACCCGCTTGGGGACCACTTTCTACCCACACTTCGGGGACCAGAAGGAAACCTAGTGCATGCCTGTTCCCCGCCTCATTGGGCAAAACTTGTTTTCACTTTTGGTTCTTCCTGGCCTGTGGCTGAGTAGGGTGGGGGACTCAGGGGTCCAGACTTTTGCCCTGGGCAGGGCACAGTCCCAGGAGCTTCCCAGAGGTTTAGTTACTTCGTTCTGTGCCATTTCCCAGGCGAACCTCTACAGTGAAGTAATTTGACAAACGCGGGTTGGGGCGTTGATGTCGCTTGCAAGCTACCTAAAGTTAATGAGGCCGCAGTGGCTCCCCCAGGTCTGAGGTCTGGGCAGGGGTGTGTTCCTGGGAGCCGCCAGCCCTCCTCTGGTGGGACCTGTGCCACCCTGGGGTGGGGGGGGGGCTGTCCTCCTGCTGTCCTGTGAGCTTGCTGTTCCGGACCGAGCGGCTGCAGGGCACTCATCTACGAACTTTGCTGGAAACCTGAGCCCTGGCTGGGTGGGCAGGAGACCCAACCCCATGGTTGGGTCCTGGGAGGCAGGATTGGCAGTTCGAGGGCAGCCACTGTTCCGCTTCTCTGAGCTGGCCTAGGGTGCCAACCTCCCTGCACCCCCTCCACGCCTCTCAGAGGGAGGGGCCCCCTCGGAGCCCTCAGCCACGTCTTCCACCGATCTGCCCTGCAGTCATGCCCCATGCCCAGGTGCACCGCCCAGCTGGTATCCAGGTGGCTCTCACCGAGGGGGAAGACGAAGTTATGAGGGGGTAGGGAGCTGGCCCAGGTCCCAAGGGACTGCACCCCAGGCCTTCTGACCCCAGCCACCTGGCCCGTGCAGCAGGTGGCCCCTCCCTGCCTCTCGTCCCACCTCGCAGTGTCCAGCTCCAGCAGAAAACTCCTGACGGGGGGGCCACCATCTAGGCATTGAGGGCACAGACACCAGACTTGGCCTGGAACCATCCACCCGAGGCGCCGTGTGCTCACCTCTCCCTGCAGCCCCTGCCCTGCCCTGGGCCTTGCAGCCCAGGCGATGCCTGTGTCCAGCTGGGCCCCAGGCCCCCGTGCTGTGACACCTCAGGGACAGTCCTCCAGCTCTGTGAGCCTTGGTCTTCTCACCTGCGAAGTGGGGAGATGAATTCAGAACTGTCCCATGCTGTATTCAAAAATCTAAAGTTAAATCAGACGGCCGGTGCCGAGTGTGTGGACAGGTCTTGGCTGGCTCCAGGACGGGCTGAGGCAGGGGCACTTGGCCTGGTCAGGCCTTCATTGCCCGGCCTTGGGGACACGGGCACAGCTTTGGGGATGCCTCCTTGGGGGACCCCCCGTTTACCTGCCCATTTCCCCACGGCCACAGGCCCTGGAGTGTAGGGACAGCCTGGTCACCTCTGTGTCCAGGCCCCCCAGACCTGAGCTGCCCAGGACGTATTTGCCAGGCAGGGCAGGGTCAGGAGGTGACACAGGCCCCCTCTGCCCCCACCTCTCCCTGAGAAGGACCCTAAGGTTTCCCCAGCTTGCCCCGGGGCTCCCACCCCAGGACTCGGGAGCCGAGTCCCACCACTTGCCTGGTGGCCAGTCCTGGGTTGGTGTGGAAATCCTGAGACTTGCAGCACCAAGACAGGGGGGACCACGTGGCTCCCAGCCTTGGGGGCTGGGTCAGCTGCCCCAGACGTGCCCCTACGGCTTCCCAGCTGGACCCCACTTGCCCCTTGAGTGTGGCCAGAACGCTGCCCCAGGGGGACCTCCCCAGGAGGAGCTCGTCCTGACACTCCTCTAAGTGATTGCAAACGTTCTAGAAGCATGACCTGGGCAACACCGGATAGTGACAAAAAGGTGGCCACCCTGCAGCCCTCCCAACAGAAGCCCCGTAGCTCTGTGGGCCTTTGCTGGGGGCCTGTGTGCAGCCACGCCTCCGACCTGGGGGCTGGCGGGGGGGACTGCAAGGAGGAAAGCTGCCATGGTCCCCACCCCCACTGCCTCCTCACCCCCCAAATTCCCTCCCTGGGTCTGGCGTCCATGTGTGTGGACGTGGCCAGGGCCATCCGAGCCCCAAGCAGCCCACCCCCCTGAGCACTGGAGCCCGGCAGCCAAGGTCAGTGCAGACGGTGGGCCCCTGGCCCAAGGCCGGCTCTGGGAGGCCGCCAGTGTCTTGTGGGGCTGAGCGTCCTTTGCCGCGGAGCAAACCTGGCCCTTGGCTGGCCTGGGGCTTCCAACACCCACCTGATTCCAAGCTTGCCTTCCAGCGTAGCCCCTCACTGGCTCATGTCCCCAAGCCAGTCTGCCCTCAGCCAGCAAGGGACACAGGCAGGTCATCAAGTTAAGTGCCCACTATAGCCACCCCTCTGGAGGGGACCTGTGAGAATTGGAGGCGTTCTGGCCGCTACCGCCCCCAGCTCAGACCCCTCCGGTGCAGCGGCCTCTGGGTGTGCGCCCACCAATCTTGTGCAGTGGGCAGCAGGCCACTCGTCCTCTGCCACTTTCACCTCTCAAGTGTCCCCTGCGAGTGCCGCCTTGCCCCTCCAAGCCAGGGTTGAGCCTCTCCCTGTTCCCTGCTCCTCCAACCTGCCAGGCTGTGCCGGTCCAGCCTCTGCCCTGCCCACCAGCCTGATTTATTTGGGTGTCTCAGATGCACGCAGGGCCTGGTCCTCAGCGCGGCTCTGCGGCAGGAGCAGGCTTTGAAGTTTAACTTCTTTTGAAAAGAACAGACAGAGAGAGAGAGAGAGAGAGAGAGAGATGCGGCCTGGGAGGCCTGGGAATGGCCAGGCCTGGCTGCCTCTCTGGACAGTGAAGGAGGACGTGGGCTCCAGCGCCCGCCAGCCTGGGGTGGCAGCGAGCCCCAGCGCAGGGCTGGGGCGGTGGGGAGATGAGTCTGCCCACCCCAGGTCCCCGCTTCCCTCTGGTCCCCCAGCATCCCTAGCCTCGGTTTCCCACCTGGTGCAGGTGTAGGGAAAGGTACATGGGGAAGCACCTTGAAAATGTGTTTGAGGTCTTTTCTGTTTTTTCCATTTTCTTAATTTTATAGAAGTAAACGCGCTTACCGTAAAAAGCCAAATGAGGCTACCAGACACGTCTCTTGCACTCCCAGGGCTACAGGCGACGGGCACGCGTGCTTCTGGGGTGGTTTCTACATAGGCATGTTCTGCACGTTCTTGCCTTTGTTTCTCGCCACAATCCCAGGCTCCTTGTGTCGGACGTGTGGCCCCAACTGCGGGGGACGGTGGGGGCGTGTGTGCACGTGCGTGTGTGCCTGAGGGCCCCACCGGCTGGGGAAGGAGATGGGCCTCGGGCCACGGCTCCCCTTGGTCTGTGGGGACCACAGGAGGGGTGGTCACCAAATAAAATACAGGACACCGGTTAAATACAAATTTCAAAACACAGATAACATTTCAGTACCTGTGTCCCAAATACCCCATGGGACACGCTTGTGCCAAGTATTTGTTGCTTCTCTGAAGTTCTCACTCAGCCGGGTTTCCTTTGGGGGGCAGGGCTGCAGGAGCCCCTGCCCCATGCTGGACGGTGGGCTCAAGGGGGCAGTGGGAGGTCTGCAGCCCCTTCCCGGAGGAGGAAACGGGGTGGGGGCAGACACAAACCCTTCCTCGCTAGACCTGTCAGTGCGGCCCTGAGCCTTCCAGGGACAGCGGAGGCCTTCGGCCAGAGGATGGGGACGCTGTCCTCTTGGGTCTCCCCAGCCAGGTGGGGAGTTGTGGCCCTGCGTGAGGCCTCTCTTAAGCCCCCGGCCCTGCCCCTTCCCTTCCTTTCTGCCCCTTGTCTCGGAGATGGGTAGAGTCCCGCCTGGAGACAGGAGGCCTAGCCCCAGATGCAAGGATGCAATGGGCAGAATTCCCGCCTCACTCTCCCCCAGGCTGGCCTGTGCCCTTGACCACAGCCCGGGGGAGG